GCAATCTTCAAGATTTTCGATTTATTCACTGTTTATTCACTTTGAATAAGCAGAAGCAGCAAAAAAAAAAAAAGTTTCAGCCTGGACTAGGAGTGTTTTAGGGCTCCACAGAAATAAACCACAAAAAAAAATAAAAATGCTTTTACACATAACCTGGTGTTAACTACAGCTTCAATTACACTATTTCATATGAAATTAGTTTTTGCCAGTACATTAAACTATCAGAGGTAAAATAAGATTGCACTGCACATTTCTGTATTTTATTACAGAGTTATAAAACAATAAATCAATAAAAAATAATTGTCCCTATCACTGAGCCCTGAGGAACCTCACTGATAACCACATCCAAGATTGGTTCTTATAGTTCTTAATGTTCTAATTCATTAGAAATGGTGATAATTAGATTCCATTTTCATGTTAATGAAAAAAGAATTATGAAAAAAAGAAAATGTCAAAACACTATAGCACATACAGTATATATCATTAACATTAAGCCAGTAGACTTTGGAATTAACTGTTATTATTTCCTTTCCAGTTTCACATACCCAAACAGTATATCAAATATACAGCATAAAACATTTACAGTCACAGTGAAAATACCAATGAGTTTCAAAAATAGTTGCTAACATTATAAGAAGATAATTAGATTATGTATGTGGCATATTGGAATATAAAATACAGCGTAAAAAAGACTAAAAATACAATATTCCAATCTGGTATTCTGGTATTTAAAGACAGAATATCGAGTGTTAATTGAAACACTAATTATTTCAATAATGAAAAAAAAAAGATTTTAAAAGGTTGGTTCTGTGCAATGTTACCAGTCATAGCAGCATATAATAGTTTGTTGAATAGTGATACTTTCATTCTAAATGTGTATCAAGTGGTATATTCAATTAATATAATTTGGACTTATTATACCATGCATTAATTCAGAGAACATGTACATTAAAAATTTACATGGCTTGATTTATCCTTTAGGCAAACTGTGAGACACTGACCAGCTAGGACTATGAAAAGAAAGAGTATGGTTGTGCTTAAAATGACCTAGGCACATTTTTGTAACCTAATGATCTAAACTGATCATTAGAGTTACGACATCAAGAATGATGTAACTGTTTTTTGACGAATGCTCTGTGATAATACGAGACTACACGTTTCTCATGAAGAGCACAGTGAAGTACCCAGAATTACAGGAGGACAAAGAGCATTGTGGAAGTGTGAACCCATGTTTTGGAAACCATCTAAAGTAAACCGAATAACTCAGAAAGACTTAGTTCCTGAGTTTTGGGTTTTACCATTTAAAATATTGATAGTCCATCAGAGCTGCCTTAATTCAGCCTTCTCAAATCAGTGTTATAAAATGTAAAAATTATACTAATGAATTCATATTAAATTAATGAATGCAAGTTGTTTTATTTACAAATGCTGCACTGTGTGTCTTTAACATTATAATGATGGAAATTCCATACTTCATATTGTCATTTGACTTATTTTATCATACAGCAATTAAATTAAAAAAACAATGTGCCGGTATTCCTGGGAAACACTGTCAAAAACTAAAAAGATTGCATCTGATGTTATTATTCTTCAATATTTGACTTTTACAGACAAAAAAATCAATAAATTTGACTCATTTTCTGAAGTCCTGGATTGAGACAGAATTTATTTTAATTTCTTCATATCTCTGTATCATAAGAACTCTTACTGTACATAACTCTTATCTTTAAACCCTACAATAGGCATACTCACTCTTTAATACAACGCAACGTTTAAATAAGCCCTAACAATGTGAAGAATCTTTTTGCAACATTGTATTCAGTTTATGTGTCCAAAAAAGGATTTGACACTTTTGCTAAATGATTTAAGGACAAAAAACGCTCTACAACTCATATAAAAAATATTTTGAAATAAAAAAAGGTTTAAATCTTAGATATCACAGAATTTGGTATTAAGGTTCTGAGCCACATTGCACTAGATTTCCATTTCTAACAGCGTACCGGAAAGCAACTAATACAGAGCTTCCAGACTGCTTCTTTAACTATTTAAAATTCATTTTTAAATTTGAGCTAAACGCACATAATCAGTGCATAACAGAATCTCGACTGAAATAATTTGCAGTAATAATAAAGAATCTGGCTAGTTTAGTGATGTAAACCGTAACATTTATATAACTATGCAAAACACTGATAATAGAAAATAAAAAAAACAAACAGCAGAAGTCGAATGGAGCTCCCAAGTAATTGAAAACTGGAGAAACAATCAGAAAATAATTTACATACGCGCAACAGCAATGAAATTGATCCTCTTTTTTATTCTCATAAAAAATAAGGTTCTCAATTTGGAAGCACATTTATATATTTTATCACGTAATACTACTTAATTAAGAAAACGTGTACATCTATAGACTGTTCTGTTGTATAAAAACTATGTGCAGGGTTTAAAACACTTAATCACGGCTGTAAAATAATTCATGTAAGGACGTCATTTCAGAACCTCTTGATGAAAATCATTACCTTGACAAATTAGAATAGTAAACCTTTGTTTTAACTCCGTGAAAAGAGAATACTCTTGATGCATAATTACATGTATATTTCAGTAATGTATCTCTGCTAATTATTTACCTTGAAAGCGTACTGTAAGGTACTCTAAATCTTTACTGATTATACTGCTGAACATCAAATGGGTCTGACAAAATAGTTTCCCTCACATAAAAATGCACAGCCGGTAATTTCCCCCAATTCCCTTTCTTCACTTGAGTAACTTAACTTTTGAGTCGTTGTCATGAAGCAAATCGGTGCTCAAGACTGTTCCGCGGTACGGCCAACAGCAGAGGTCATAAAACCCAGGAATCCGAGAGCTACTCTCAGCTGGACTCCTGTTATAATAAAATACTACCCGTTTTCATTTTTAAACCCCTTCGTCAGATATTCTCCAGGTACTGTATGTGATCGCTACTCTTCATGTCAGACCTGACTGAAAAGCAATAATGCATCAATCCAGGCAGTTTTTAAAGGCTAACCCGACGCTCGAAACACAAGCACACCTTTCTGCACTGAGCCATTTCAACAGAAAAATCTATCACTGCTATACTGTAGTTCACACAGCCTTTGAAGAGCACACGAACTAGTTCTTTTTCATTAAGTCACTTTTCACACCGGTGTAAAAGAACTGCGTCTCTCACGAGAGGGTGAAAGACATAGACACCCGTAATATGAAGTTGTATCAAAACAGAATAAAATAGTAAGAAAATATACACTGGAATCAGAACCGCATAATAGGATGATACTGACAACAGCTCAAGACAAAGGGGAGGCAAGAGATCTAGTAAATAAAACAATAAAAATAGAAAAAGTAACAAAAAATCAAACTCATTTCAAAGTACTCTGAAATTGTGTAAAAGCCTACAAGTAAAAAAATAAACTATGAGTGCTCCCTGCACAAACGAGGCGGTGCAATTATAACATCCTATACGCAGATGTCACCTGCTCCGCAGACGGATAACAGTGAAGAGTTCTCGTCTCTTCAGAAACGAACAGGTAGACAAGCTCTTCGCTCTGCATGTAAATAGAGAGAGACACACAGTTCCAGAGAGTTTCAGATTGGCAGAAAGTTGTTTTAATATATCCAATGCCTGCGTTATATATAGTAAAATCAAGATTTTTATTTTTCATTAAATATGCAACACTCCAAAAGTTAAAAATAAATAAGTCGTTTGCTTAGGGTACTCAGCAGCAAACATAGCTCTCAAACCGGGGCTTTTAAAAAAAAAAATCACATTTACACCCAGAGCTTTAAATGGTTAAACAACCTTATGGCTATGATGCCGTGCAAGAATGCGTGTGTCGCTACCACCTTTCCAATAAAGTATAGCACTATACCTTCAAGGTCAAAGACACCTGTTTCACAGAGAGTGCAGCCATTGAACTGTCCACGTCGCAACTTCAAATAAATAACGGCGCTGCTCATAGGAATCCCAGTCCTTGTAATATTATAATAATAATAAAAAAATATACAAAATAACAATAACAACAACAAAAAGTTTGGCTTTCTTGTGCTTCAGTTATAATCTTTATCTTTATTCGTGTACCCAGTTTACATATTTGCTTTTGGTGACCAACGTAGTATCAGCGAAACCTACACGTTAAAATAACGTTTCCACGTTAAAACAATGAAGAGTACTGATAATCTGGAGCATCGCTGCCAAAAAAAAAAGAGGAGGGAGGGAGGGCGCGTCATGATTTAGCTTGTTTCTGCTTCTTAAAATAATATATAAAAATGCCGGTAAGTTCCTGCCAGGGGTGCTCGCATGTCTGCTTCCAGTAAATGGATTTATTTGGACAAATATCGGGGAGAATGAATCTACATTTTGGCTCACCTTGAGAGCGTATTACACTAGGACCGGTGGATAATCACCCGAAGGACCTGACCCTGCCATATTCCCCACTCCCAAAACGCGAACAGTATCTCATCTTTGTTTTTCTTGAAAGTCGTTTTGTCCCCCTTTCCGTTTCGTTGGCCCGGCTGTGCAATATGTTAAGCGGAGCCCCCGCTTGCGAATATAAAATAACATTTGCGTTGGCAAAACTGGCATTTCACAACACTTCGCCTGTGATAAAAAGAGGGCATTCATTTTGTAAAACATGGCACCAAAATGTTGGGTGCTAGGAGCGAAGCTTTTCTTTCATCACCGAAAAAAAATATATCCGTGTACACCAGCTGAAGAGTTTGCAACACAGACGTGACCGCTACACAATTTTAAAAACCCGAGTATCAGCTTTGGAGAGAATTAAAGACGGGCTTTCAGCTTTTTTTATATGATTTGTTTTTTACAGAAGGCAGGTATTTCATGAGAAGACAGACAGAGAGAGGGGTTTGCCCGTAATTCGGTAAAGAAGAGCTCGTACCCCCATTGGAAAAAAGGCAGATCAAGAATTTGGAGTTTGATACAAAATTGATCAACAAAACCGCTAAAAAGAAACCAGTCTTATCATTCCTACCTTCACCGAGCCGAAGAAACGGGAATCCGTAAATGTATCCCTCACTTACAAATGGTAAGAAAGTTCTCACAAACGCTGGTTTTGAGAAAACACACCACGGGCAAAATTAGAAAACGCTACTTAATGTTGAGGCTACAAATAGTTAATAAACATCCCCTCCCACCTTTTATCTCTTTATCTAAACTGTCGTTTATTTATTTACTTATTCCTTCTCTCTCGGAGAAGCTTCCCTTTAGTTGACCACCTTATTATAACATATTTGCTTTTTCCCAATTTTTCTCTACTTTTTTCAAGCACCCACGGCACAAATAAACGCACTTCAGCTGTCGGCTTTCATCGCACATCACAAACAATGTAATTACTGAACAACGGATCCTGCGATACGAAGACCTTCTCCGCGTACTTCCACCAATTTTGAATTATTACAGAGGCCAAAATCTGTGTGCCCACTTAAAAAAAAACTACGCATATTCCCGAGCATCTGAAAACTGTCATTCCCATCATCTTTCTCCGCTCTGTCACGCGTTCAACAGCTACTTGCATCACCCCGCAAACGAAGTCAGTGATACTTGCAACACATAATGCTTAATCCAACTTAATCTAAATCATGTCAAAACTATCCGTAGCGAAATAGGAAATAGTTATTAATCTGTTTCTCTGCGATTATTTCTTGATGTTTAGTCCCCAAGAACACCTTGAGGCGACTGGAACTCCCTTCCCCGTCACTGTATTTAGCGAATTCACGTACTTGTTAAAAAAAAAAGTTTTTTCACCCCCCCCAAAATTTGTTTGGATAACAAGAAATTTCTGTTCTTATAAATAAAACGGACACTTTATCAACACCAACCCCCTCCCCTTCCTTCACCGTTTCTTACCTTCTGCTCCCAGATCGCTCTCAAGAAGCGGCGACGCCTGCGTTTTTAAAGCTTCCCCGATTTCTTGCCCCGGCGGGTGTTTTTTCGCGTGTTTTTAATATTTTTCCTTACTTTGTGTCATTTCTCACTTCCATCTTCTTTCATCTCATCAATAAACACACGCGCTGCAGCCTACCTTTGGAAGGACACCAGCCCGTCCCACCGTGCCCGCCTCCTTTTTTTCCTATTGGCTGGAGGTGAGGGAGGGTCACGCCCCCCCAGCGGTCATTGGCAGAGAAATTCCTATCCGGGCGGCGGAAGGCTGCGTTTTACGTCACTCAACATCCAAGCGCGCCAATCACAACATCGCACACCCACTGTTTATAGAGTTGTGGAAGGTTGAAACTAGCGCCATTAGGGCTCCTCCCCCGTAACCGATTTCCCTGAAACAGGACGGGATATTGGAGCCAATATGAACACCCAAGGCGCACAGTTTCTTCACCATACCTACTGTACAAACCTTACGCACACTACCCAGCGGACAAAAAGCACTGCGTCGATCCCGCATTATCATTAGTAAATGGATAGTTTTGCATTTGTACTACAGTTGTCTTTTCTTTTGAACGCAAGTCCGAAGTTGCAAATAGTTTTTATTCGAGATCAGAGTGATGGTAGCAAAAAAAAAAAACTCCCAATAAGCGCCAGTGAACCATCTTACTAGGAGACCGTCCATTGATGACTATACACGTCTATCATGTCGTGTGACTTCAGATTGGGTGAGCGAGTTGTCCGTAAACCTGTCGGGGGTGATGCTCTGACGAGCATTGGGCGATTCCGCCGTCCGTCATTTTTTTCCCCCTTGCCATCAAGTTCGATTGCTTCCCGTCCCCCTTTTACTTTCTACGCATTTCTATTTTCTCATTTATTTATTTTTAAAGACAACGACCCTAGTTGACCGCAAGCCAACAGTAAAAAAAAAAAAGAGAGGAAAAAAAAAACCACCTACTGACAGCCCGCACGGCCAATGAGACGGCGCTCAGGCGCGCCGGGCTGCCAGGATCTCCAATGGCGATGGGGAGCCCGGTGATTGGCACACAAGTAGGGCAATTGGGGCTACGAGTTTTGTTTCGCTCGGTACCTCTGTCTAGACGGTGACAGGTGTGTGCGCCCGTCTGAAGTCTAGACTCCAAGCGATCAGCCTTAAAGCGGCAGCGAGCGCTAAAAGCGGGGCCGCCCGCACCCCCTTTTTAAAAAAAAAAAAACATACTCTCTCTCTCTCTATAAATATATCTCTGTTTCCCCTCGGGCAGGGCGCACACGATCCGCCGGTTGAGAGGGACGAGCCGGTTGCATGCCCTGCCTGGCGGGGAAAGGTCGTAACGGGGAAGCTTGAAGCGAGCGAAAGAGGGGAGACGCGGGGCTGGCGAAGTCTGGCCGATGCGCCAGGAGGGCAGTCGTTGCGCACAGGGGCATAAAAGCGGATTTTTTCTGACGCGCTTCTCCCCCCAGCTGCACGGTTGCATGCGATTGCGTCTGTTACCATCAGTATTATTGCAACTATACGGGACGTTGATCTCCGCTACAGGCTTTCAATCAATGCATTTATTGTCGATTTTGTGATTCCGTTGCTCCTTCCCCGAATGTGATAGAACTACAACGTTACATCTCATGAAAAGCTGAAATACAAACACTCGCAACCCGATTCTTTTCTGGGGGTGAAAGAAAAGCTTTTGAAGTGTGTGTGTGTTGGTGGGGTAATAAAAGCTTTGACTACAAAAAAAAAAAAACACGTTCAGACACATAAATGCACAGCGCAGAGTCCCCGTCTCACGGGACTCGCCATAGTCGTAGTCTAGCAGTAATTGTTCTCTAAATCTCGAATATTTAAAATGTCCTCCACTTGGAGAGAAATGTTTGATGTACGACCGTTTGGGGA